TGAAAATGAGCTATCTAAAGAGATGTTATTATTCAAAAGAATTATTCACTAGTGTGGATCTCATACAAATTGTTTAGCTTCTCAAAACTTTAGTTCTCTCATCTGTCAGACTCCTACCTAAACCAAGATCCCTGGCAATAACAATAGCAAAGTAATTGCCGTGAAAAGTCCAGAAAACAAACTCAGTTTCTCTATATTCTCATACAACACTTCGGGTATCAGTTGTGGGTTTGTTTTTCCCGCACCAATTCTCCAACTCTCTGAATATAACCTGGGTATTCTACAATATAATTCAATCCTGACCTCACCCAGAGTTAATGTCAGATGGATGCCACAAGTTAAGGACTCAAATCCAGAAGATTGCTCCTAGGTCCTCAGCACTTCTGACCAACCAGCTACAAACTGGGGCTTCTCACAACTCCCTTCTCCGTTTCAATAATGTGCTAGAATGGCTTACAAAACTCAGTGAAACACTTTATTTACATTGCTGGTTTGTTATAAAGGATATAACTCAGGAACAGCCAGATGGAAGAGATGCACAGGGCAAGGCATTGAGTTGGCAGCGGTGGGTGGGGGGTGGGGTGAGGGGAATCTCTGGTCTTGCCATCCTCCCGTACTTCCAAACTGGAAAATCTTTTTTTTTCGGGGGTACTAGGGATTGAACTCAGGGACACTTGACCACTGAGCCACATCCCCAGCCCTGTTTTTTTTTTTTTTTCCCCATAGTTAATCATTTTCTACTTTATTGAATTCAGTTCTGTATTTTCTTTCTTGTACTTTTTTTTATTTAATTGATTTTATTTTTTTAAATACAAGACAGCAGAATGCATTACAATTCTTATTACACATATAGAACACAATTTTTCATATCTCTGTATATAAAGTGTGTTCACATCAATTCATGTCTTTATACATATACTTTTGTTGTTGTTGTTTTGCATTACAATTCTTATTACACATATATTACAGCCTGAGCCATCACATCCAGCCTCAACAAATCTTTCAAGAGTATTTATAGAACTTATTTCCAGTCTACCTCATCCCAGTCCAGAAGTTGGTAGGCAGGGATCAAAACGACTCTCTAATACGTGGTCTTTCTAGTGGCCAGCCTCATCCTGAGATTATGTAGAGAACCCCACCACAAGACACCTGAACACAAGTGTGATTAAAAGGGGCTCAGGGTAAGTAATAAGACACTACAATCGTTTGGGAATTCTAAGAGTTTTAGGACCTTTGTGACAGGAAAAGTAAAAAATTCACCCAAAAAACTTAAAATCACTACATTATACAATAATAAAGTAGAATGTTTTATTTTTATAAAACTATCACTCAGAAAATATTGTTACATTGTGATTATGACATTATGATTTAATCTCCTTTTTTAAAAGAAAGGTTTTCTGAAGAAATGGTTTGGAGTCTATCACATTTATCAGATGCTTTTTCGTTATTTTTTTCCATTTTTGCAATTCTAGATCCAAACTGCATGGCCCGTTTTGGTAGAAGAGCTGAGGCTGTAAGACCAAGTTCTACAGCTGCAAGACGTAAAATTAATTTTTCACCAATTCCAGGGGGTAGAGTCAAGTTTGCCTTTTCCCAAACCGGTAGTGAATTTAGAAAGGAGACAACATTTTCATCCAGGAAAGGAAATCTAAAATAAACAGATAAACAATGAAATTGTATAAAAATAAAATCAATCTGTTAAAGATTATTCATATAATTTTATGACTAATATTTAACCACATTAAAAAAGTATTTCATAATGTGACAATTTTAATACACGTTACCAAATAATGTCTCAAATAAATTAGATAAAGAAACAACTTCAAATTGTTTCACAAAGTTATCTTGGGTATGCCTTGAAAACAAGCATGACCTCAGTTAACTACTCATTCTCATCTGTGTTTGATCTTCACCATTTCTAAATAAACTGAATTTTAAGGATACAAAACCAACATAGAAGGGCTCCACAATTTTGGACTCAAAAAACACTCACTTATGGTATTCAAATTGTTTAATTACATTTAAACTGTTCAAATGATGACAAATTAGTATAACAGAACAAAATACTAGATTAAAAAAAAAAAAAAACTTTCTGCCTTTACACTTCTCTATTTCCCCACAAATTTTTGATTGCTTTTTAGTTTGTTTCCAATATTTTAACATCCCTTTCTCCACTCCTACCAATTTCTCAAAATGCAGTATGATGACACCAGTGTTCATATTTTATTATATTTTTTACCTACCGTTAGTAGAAAGATGGGAAAGCATACAGGCATTTTTTTTTTTTTTTTTTAATGTAGGATATAAGAATGAACTAACTTCAAAAATACATATACAGACTAATCAAACAGATTACTATTACTATGTATTTAAAGATACATAATTATTTAGCTCTAACCACTATAATTTGTATTTGTTATAATTCTGTTTTAGCTGTTTTAAACACTTCATTTATACTCTTATATTAATGCAACATGATACTTTATACTGGGCCATTAGAATTAACTACTCTTATCAGATGAAACAGTAGACTATAAAACAGTAGATTACTTAAACAGAATTCTACTCTTTAGAAAGTACCTTGGTCTCTGAAGGTTTTAAGTAATCTGCAATGTGACTAAACTGGGTTTTTAAAAACAATCATGGAACCATAGAGGGAAATCTAGTACTGGGACCACCACTGAAACACTGAACACTCAAATATATAGGGATACAAGCAGATCCATCCAGAGAGACAAAGCCAGATTCTCTATCACTGGAGAAAAAAGTCTGGGGGCAGGAGCTTGTACTTTATACTGGTTTTGTTTAAAACAAAACAAACCTCTTTAAATACCTTCTCTTGGTCTTACACTATCTGTTTTACTTTTAGTCTCTTTGTCAGTCTTAAAAGTAACCAAATCACTTGGAACTTTATTGAAAAGACATTTCTTGGAGAAAGAGTTCTGGAAAACAACTGCTCCCTGGCCCCTCCCAGCTTTGCTCATGACTGTCTGTAACAATGAAGCCAAGACATTACTGCTGTTCCCTCATTCATAGAACAATCTCCATATACGAACAATCTCCATATAAACTTTAAAAGTCTCCTTTTATAGTCTACTGTTTTTACCCAAACACCTTATAATGCTCAACTAATGAGAAATACCTTGCTTCTTTTCCATGATCAGCAATAACTCTGTCATCACGACCAAGGTTTCTAGAAGAAATTCGATCCAGTTCCATTGCTATTTCCTCATTCAACCCTCCTAGTCCAAGTGTCTGAAAACGGACACGATGACGAGAGTAACCTGCAAGTTGCTCATCTGCACCAATTCCAGTGAGAATAACCTATAGAAGTTTAAAGAACTCCGTATGAAAATATGGCCTACTATACAATAAAATAAAAGCTTAAAAATTATAGCCATAAAGATAACATTTTTAGAGAAAAATTAAAGTCAGAAAATAGTAAGATATGCTCAATTATTAAGAAGTCACATCCACTATATTATAGTTTAAATACAATTAAAACATGCTATATTCTTGCAACATTAAATGCCCAAAAGCTTTAAGGGTCAAAATTAGGCTCAAAAATTCTTAAAAGCAGAAATAATGAACCATACCTTTGCATTACTCTGATATGATTTTATTTCATCCTGGATCACTAAGCAACCAGTTCCTCTAGAAGCAAACCAGACTGCACAGCCAATGCTATCATCCAAAACTGTATCCAAAGGTTGAATTAAGTGGCATATTTGAGTTCTTCTCAGTTTTTGGAGTTCTTCTAGAGTAACATTAATTTCAATGAAATTCCAAATTCGAGAAGGATTAACAGCTTGCAGTTCCTTCAGTCCTGCTCTTCCTGTGACTCTATCTGGTATATTATCATCATCAGGACTATTAACAGCAGCATTCTTAGAGAATTCTTCAGAAAGTATTTCACAGTAATTTTTCTGTTTGCTTCTTTTTTTATTAAAGCTAGTTGGTGAGATCTTATCTTTACTCATGAAAGCTACATTAAGAAGATCAATTGGTTCATCTAAAGGAATATGACGATCAGCAAGGGTTGCAATCACCATGGAATCGATGCCTCCAGAAAACAGGATTGCAACATTTGCTTTCTTATTACAAAGTTCTGAAACTTCATTTGGTACCAGGTTTTCATCCCTTCGTAAATACAAGACACGTCTCTTGACTGCAAGACTTAGGACATCAATGAACTGCTGAACTACTTTTTTCGTGTGTCCATCTGTAAGAAAGACCCGAAGTGTCTCTCTTGTAGGTGGAATGTTGGAAGTGTTTCTGCATTGAGTTTCTAATGTAGCTTGTGGCAATATCATATTTAAAGGAACAATAGGTTTTTTAAGATATAGTTTGGCTTCATTTGCTATTACTGACACAAATGTTGGTAAGTCTGCTGAAATTTGACTCAGTCTATTAACACATTCATCAATAACATTCTCCTTAGAAACAGATTTCCAAGGATATAATTTTAAAATTACACATCTAGAAATGGCAGTAGATTTGAGATCAATTCTAAAAATTCCAGATGCTGGAACTTCTTGCCACTGATTTGCCACTGTAGATTTTTGGGAGCCCACTGAAGAGAGGCAGAAACTCTTGCCCAAATTACTAAAATGCCAAAGCAAGCTACGGCGACCAAAAAAATCCCTACCAAACCATAAGTAATGAGTAGATGCTTGATAATATATGAAAGACCAAGGACCTCGGACTTCTGAGAAGAGTGATAAAATATCAGACTCATCCATACAAGAGGAAAGATAATTAAACATAATCTGAGTATCATTCTCTTCAGCTTCAAACTTTATTCCACTGAAGACTTCTCCATTCCATAGGAACACATTACCTCTTTCATCTTCTACAGGCTGGGCAGTCAAAACACCTCTCAAATGAAGGACATGACCAGAGAATAAACACTGGTAGTTAACACCAGACTTTAAAACCTGTTTACCACTATTGGGGCCCCGTCGCTGAAGACTGTACAGTAAATCTTCTTCTAAATCTTTACTGAAATGCTCAGCAGAAAAGCTTACAGAACAACAGATGCCACACATTGTTATGAAATCAACGTGACTATTTCTTGATTTTAGTTTTCTCTGAATTTTCTATGTCTTGGTATTCTTTTTTCAGTTCATCCAAGATATCTGTGGAAGGGAGAAAGAAAAAATATTAAGTAAAATTCTTGAACTTTTACTTAGTAATTCATAAGCCAACCTAGGCTACTTACCAAGATCAAACTAAACAAGTACACATACTGTGTGAGGGCCAATAATAATTTATAATGGGCTACTAACAAAGCATGTTGATCTTTCAGAGAAATAGTGTGCAATAAGTGCTTATTTTAGTTCAGGCATTTGGCTAAGCACTTTTACATACAATCTTATTTTAAACCCCATGAGACCTTAGAGGATCAAAGTATTTCACCAAAAGTCACTGTTAGGTCGATGGAGGTGGCTGAGGAACAAAGCACCAAGCAACCTGCGCGTAAAAGAACCACCAATCAGTTGCTGACCCAACCACCTGTCAATCAGCGGAGTCTCCTGGCCAATCCTGGATCTTGGCCAGCTCCCCTAGACCAACCCCAGTAGGACAAGGGACTCTAAAAATCCCCTTTTCCTGTCCCAAACCCTCCCTTCCTGCCCTAATCCCAATAAAAATTCCAGTCCAGTCAAGCTGTCCACTTTTCCTCAGACCCACCCTGTTGGTATGAGGGTCTCGCCTAGGAGCAAAATCTCAATAAAGCCTCGATCAGCAGCCTTTTTAAATCTGCCTCCTTTTGGTCGCCGCTGCCTGACCTCACAGTAACAAAGGGAAAAAATGGTATAATGGTTTTTCCTACATAGATCTCTCAAATTCTTAAGTACATGTTAATAACTACTGCTTTCCAACACATCTTATGGGTTTTTTTGTTACTATATTTGGAAAGATAACTTGAAAGAAATCACTATCAACCTTTAGACATATATCTAAACATTTGTATATAATTTAATTGAGGCATCATTATGAATTTTCATAGAAAACCTACAAAAGATTTTCTGTGCCTTTCCACACAAAACACTAAAACAAACAAACAAACAAAGGAAAAAACCTCAACAACTTACTTTTGTTTTCAGAAAGCATTTCTGTTCGGTCTGCAAGAAAGAATATGTTGCTGTTCTGTTGTTGCCTATATACTTTCTGCAAAACATAATTTAGGCTAACATTAAGATTTGATCTAAAAAGAGTAGATGTGAAGACTCTGGATGCTATTATAACTTATTCTTGAATTTCAGGAATAAAATGTTAAGACTAATACTTAAGCAAAAACAAATGAACAAATAAAGGTATGCGACCACACCATTGATACTATTTATGCTGAAGTAAAATTTTTTTCCCCTCTGTGTATACAATACCATTTTCTTTAAAAAGCCTCCTACCAAACTACACATTTATTATTTACTTTATCAGAAAATATTGACAACACTTTCTTATCAATAAGTGTTCTTTTACAATATTATATGGTAAAACATACTATAGTTTATTTGCTTAGTCCTCTAATAAAGTATTCCCAGCTCTTCACTAATTAATGCTAAAGTAAATTCTTGTGTGCTTCCATTGTTGTCTTAAGTATTAATTACTACAAATAGAACTGCTGGGTTATACACTTTTAAGGCTTTGCTACATCCCATCAATTTTTCCTCCAGAAAGCTTGCATTAATTTGACATAACCTCTAATATCATACAAGAGACAATATCACAAATGTCTAAACTGTCAGTTATTAAATAATCTTTAAAATGCTTTAAATTTTTAAATCATTTTAAATTTTAGAATCATTTCTTTTTGAACTTTAAAATGAGTTTTCACAGTGTAATTATACATGCTTATTAATGAATGTTGATGGAAATGGAATTAAATAACCATATCAAATATTTACAAGATTTGTCTACATTTTTTGGAGGAAGGAGAAGCAATTTATCCTTTTTTGTTAACAGTTTTCTACAATCATTTAAAGGAACAGTATCCCCTCTTCTCAACATATTTAAAGATCATTTGCTTCAAAAGAAAACACCAATTCAAGTACAAAATAAGATCACTGGTGATTGTAGCTCCAAGACACCAAAGTACAATTAGTGACATTTGTTCCAATGATAATGTGAATGATAATATGACAGGGGAAAATATCTTCAACTATGAAATCTATCTATATACACATAAAAAAAAAAAAAGCCCAAACTAGGAATACGTTTACAATTTAAAAAGATGCTGAAATCTTACACAGATAGAATTCTTTTATTTTTTTCTTGTTACTAGGGATTGAACCCAGAGGTGCCTTACCACTGAGCCACATCCCCAGCTCTTTCTATTTTGAGTCAGGATTGTACTAAATTGCTTAGGCCCTTGCTTAGTTGCTGAGGCTGGCCTGGAACTTGCGATCCTCCTGCCTCAGCCTCCCAAGTTGCTGGGATTATAGGCATGTGCCACCGCACCCAGCCAGATGCAATTCTTACACATAATTCTTATAACTTTATTATATAGTTAATACAAATATTCAATCCCACCCCCACCCCCCCGCAACATACTATTCAGAATTCCTCTAATAACTTACCCTGTTCTTCTTCAAGTTAGAAAGTTCATCCACAATAATTTTTTGTTCTTTAATCTATTGAAATAAAGAAAAACTCTTTAAATCAGAGGTTTTCTAAGTTTGCTCAATAAAGTCCGTGAAGTGACTCTTTTAAAACTTGAAAGATGAGCTAGGATAAGGGGCTATCACATACTAATTGTCCAAATGGGCAATCTGTAAATATATAGGTTCTTTCCAACAGCAGTCTATGAGGGGAGACAGGTAGGAAAAAGAGGAGGAAACAGTGGTTTTATCTGCCAAGAGTTAGGTAACCCAATGAGTTCAGACAGAGAAGTTGATTTTAATAAGCAGCATTCATGCCAATGGTCAGTTTACTAAACACAGTTTATACCTTTTATTAAAAACAGGCAACATGCACCAAAAGTAATACCAATCTTTTGATTAACTTTTAAAAGTTATGTGTTAGCTTAAAAAAATGGAATAAGAGGTGGACTATTTTTTCTAATTGCTAGTGCTTTTCATGACTTATGTTAGCAAAAAAGGACTGGACTGGACGCAAACTTCAAGGATCACTTCAGCCTTTTGTTCAGGAATGGATTATACACAGGAATGGACCCATTTTCCTGGTGGAAAATGAGCCACTGGCCAAAGGAGGAATTTAGACTTATATAAGTTATACTGAGAGGTAATTTAATGTGTGTGTCAGTTTGGGTACTCAGCAATTTGGATTTTTGGGTTGGGGGGTCAGTGACCAGCGCCTGGAGAGGATTTATCTGGAAGAGATTAGTGTTTCCTAGAGACTATCATTCTAGATTTCATGAAACACTTTCTCCCCACCAGTGGCCAGCATCTAAAAAGGGTTTATCTCAAAGAGATGAAAGCTATCAATGTATGGCTTCTTCTTTCCTTTCCCCAGGCTACACTATCTTGGGGTTTTCCATTTTCCATATTTATCAACTTATGTACTAAATGATACATTCAGACATTTAGATCTACCAAATAGTACTAAATGCCCTATCTGGGGCAGTATGATGTTATCACTTTTGTGATTGAATCATTCCCCTTTGGATATTAGACTAAGCACAGTGTTGGCACTGTTGAACTAGACTACACATTTTAATCAGTAGAAGACAGCTCAATTAAGTAAAAACAAATATTTTTTAAACTCTTTTCAGTAACTACATCAGTAGTAAATGGCTTACTATGGTAACAATCAGTCTGGGCTATATTTTGAAAAATCATCCCTACCACTATGAATGTGCACCTGTCTCCACAATTGACAGAAGTGTGGACTAGATTGAATTAAATTCCGAGGCAAAATCTGTACAATCTTCTCCAGAATTTAGTTTGCTTGTACAGTACTTTCCCATTTATTTTAGGAATGGCAGATATAGTTTTTATGTCAAAGGATACTGATATAGGGAGATAAAAGACACTTGCACAACATGTCACTGGTAGTTTGGGGCAGAACCAAGTAGAATCTAGGACACTTAATATGTGAGAGGCTATACCTATTCTTCTTCATGGAGGTTTGAAGATTTTGTCTATTTATGGCAGTTAAGATTAATGCTATGTTGACTTCCTCTTCCCCTTTTTCTCAGGAGAGAAGTGACAATCAGACGCATGTTATAATCTAGGTAAGAAAAAGTAACAACTGAGAGGAGGAGATACCTTAGTAAGCCTTTGCTGGGGTCCCGACAGGATATGAAGGTGGCTGCTCGGTGGCGTTAAGAGTGTACTAAGCACTGAGATGAAAGGGGCATGTTTAAAATGAGCTTCAGAGGCAGAACATATAGGTCTTCGTGATGGACATGAAGGATGACTCCCAGTTTGCTGGCACGGATAACTGGGTGGAGAATATTCGTGGCCCAACAGATTTGAGGTTTGGCTGGTTTAAAATGAGCAAGGGGGCAAAAATCAACCAAAACCTCCGCCCCAATGTGACCCTCACCTGGGTCTAGTCTCAAGGCAAGTTTCAAGTTCTCCCTTAAGTTAATGCCACTATTTCAGGAAAGGATTAACTGCAGCTGTCAAGTGCTACGAATGAGAAGAACAAAGCAGAGCAGTAAAGCTAAGGTGGAGCCAAGTCCCCAGGTTGCCCGCGGCAGACCATCTCTGGGGCCCAGTGACGCCAGGTCCCGGGCCCCGAAGTTTCTCGTTGCATCCCACGCTCACCTTGTTGCTAAGCTCCTCCTTCTGTGCGGTAGAGTTATCGGTGGAAACCAACACAGCGCTATCGTCTGACCGCGTCCCACGGATGGGCATCTCCACGCCGCGCAGCATATGCAGGATGCACACTGGAAGCGTCAGCCGCCTTTAGTCCCAAACACGGCGCGTGCGCGTTCTCAGAGGCTCCACTCCCCCTCCATCTCCCTTCTGAATCCTACCAATGTCATTTGCACTCGGACGCACGCGCAGACCAGGTCTGGCCCAAAAGTATCTATGCGCATGCGCATAGCTACTTAGCGTGCAAAACCGCAGAACCTGGTGCGGAGCCTACGAGGGTCCCGAGTCGTCCCCTAGTGGACTGGAGGTAGAAGCGCTTTTGCGATCTCTTCACTCCCTCACATCCAAGGTTATGCGCCTCCCAGTGGTAAATGTAAAGAATAGTAGCTCAGTAAAAACACAGTTAATGTTTATTATCTAGGCAAAGATATGAAGCTAAGGTAAAGATTAAAGACATACAGTGCTGGAACAAAACTGTACTGACCAGATACGTTTTTGTCGACTTGTGGTTAGGGTTGCCAAATTAAAACATAGTTTTGTACGAATTTCAGATGAATGAATAGTTTTTTTTTTTAGTGTATATCCCATGCAGTATTTGCAATATATCATCCTCTAAGGGAAAAAAAGACCAAAATTTGGAAATAGGCTAAAGAGATTATTGGGTGTTCTTTCAGTGCTCTTCTGGGCTTGACTTTCTATTGACAGTAAATCAGCCCAACTCAGGCAGGGATTAACTATAGAGGAAGAGGGCAAAGGAAAGAGATTAACTTGTAGATTTTTGTCTGGTTGAAGTACAAATAATTTGTTTTGTGGACCAGATAACACCACAGGATGTGACTTACTAACATTTCTTTACTAACATACTGCATAGTTGTAAATGCTCTTTGAATTGGTTTAACATTTTATTGGATCTTTTATTAATAAGTTTAATAAAATTTTGCCCTGTGCTAACTTCATATTTTCATGGGAAACATGATTTTTGAAAATTATTCTCTAATATTGAAAATATCAAATTTATGTGGAGATGGTCAAGTGGACTCGTGATGAAGCCAGACTGTATGACTTAAAGGAATGCACTCCAGGGGGTAAGCCCAAGGTATATCTTATTGGCTTTTGGAGTAAATCCTAAAGATTATAAAATCCATACTTTTTATTTTTTCTTTTTATTGATTGTTTTACCTTTTTCTTTCTTTCTTTCTTCTTCTTTTTTTTTTTTTGCTTTTTTACATTTCTAATAAATTATTCCACAGAGGCAGTGGCAATGATTGGAATTTTAGATTATGGTTTAACCATTTGGTGATATTTGTTGGATGACAGACATCTAGTCTCTTTTAGAAGAGAGATGCCAGTGAACCCAGATGCCAGTGAACTCAGTTTGTTAGTTTTTTTTTTTTTGTCTTTTGTGATTTCAAATTAATTTTGTACTCACTAAGAAGGAGAATAGCTATGTAAGATTTGAACTGGTGAAGTTTTGTTTCTGTGTTTTTCTTGCAATCTGAGATTGAGGTTGTAAAAATGAAACAATAAGCTCTGTATGTGTCTCTGTATTTATACTTTTAACAGGCTTTATATTTCACTGTGTTAAAGGGTATTAATAAATCTACTATAATGTCCCTTATTTTAAAATGCCTTTGGTTTATCGAGTTTATAAGCAGTTGTATAAATCCCCAGTACTTTAAATGTGCTAGACTTTTAGGAAAAAATTTCTTTTTATAAAACTGCTAGCTCAGAAACATTTTAAGAATCACATTTATGTAATTAAAGTGAATCTTTGGAAAAATGAAATTGAATCAATAAATTTGATTTAATAAAGAAAAGCAATTATATGTCTTTTCTCTGATGTATCAATGTTAAGTAAAATACATGTACATATTTTATACTTTATAACATTTAGATTTGTTTTCTCATAAAAAGATACACTACTGAAATTTACTAAACTTATTTTATTGATTAATCAAGTTTGTATTACTGCTTCATAATGTTTAAATTTATGAAAAAAATGAGCATTCAGATAAACTTTTTATATCAATAATAATTATATTTAGTACTGCATAAATTTAAACATAAATCCATAACTTAAAACCTTGAGGTAATATTGAATTAAGTCAATGATTAAGTGTTAGAAAACTAGTTTATTTATAAAGTTGATTATGGAAACATTTATGAAAATAATTTTAAGTTTATAAAACTTTATTTTTGTTTTTATATGTCTTAGAATAGCTATCCTTTTGGGTCATGTTAATGAACATGTTCATTTCTGTCACCTTCAGAAGGTGTGAACAGAATGGGTATAGTGGTAGATGGTTGTGTTGTATACTTAGGAGTTCGGTTAATCTGTTAACATGATTGCATGTGACCATTGTCAATTATTAACATCCATCCAATTCTCTCTGAAATAGAAATTACTAAATTGGTTAAATGTTATAATTAATATGTAATTATTATGTATTAATTATGTAGTTATAATTAATATAGTTGAAACTCTATTAGGGGAAAATATAATAGAAAAACGCAGGGTAGTAGAAAAGACTCTTGTTTTGCAAAGACATAGGGGTTCTAAAGGTAAGTATCACTTAGTTCCAGGATATGAAAGAGCAGTGAAAAATGAAACTTGGGGTTATAGTAAGTTGAAGAGGTTGGATGAAAGTGAACTTTATTTACCTTTCTTAATATAATTGGCCCTTAAAAAAAACTATGTAGTATGCTGAAATTTTGGAAAAGTTCATTTAGTTTTGGAGGCTAAGGTACAAGGTAAATATTTTTTAAAGACTTTTACTGCCAAATGTTATATTAATGAAAATTGGTGGCATTTCTCTTTTAAACCACCTCTGGATCCATTTTCAAAAACCTTGGAATGAACTTCATCAATTGGGATATCTTTTTAACTAGTGTCTAGAGATGAAGTTTATATATAAAACTAAAGAGACTGAGCATCCCAATACAGTCCTCTTTGCACCCCATCATCTATTGTCTGGCTAGAAAAGTATGAATTCTAGTTAATGTTTAAATTGATTGATTTTTTTGACTCACAATTATGTCCATATTGAGTATCCACAAACTGCTTATTGGTATACATCAGTTAATTTCCTTTTAAAAGTGGGTTGTTGTTTATGACTTTGCCTTCTTCTGTTGTTTTTGTTTCTTCAAAGGAACCACTCAGGATGACAATAGTAAACAAAGTGATGATGATCATATTGGCATGGTGCTAACCTGTTTCTACATTTTTATAGTTTTTTTCTTTTTGTGTTTATCCAATTGCTTCTATTTACTTCTTCAGTTGCTGCAAGTTCTGTGCTGTTTAACCTCACACTTTGGGGTTAGCTGATATTATTTTTCATGCCCAACTGGTGCAGGACTATCCTTCTACAGCCCACTCTACAACCAGCTAGGCTATTCTTCCTCTGTTCATGATACATTGCTGTTGTGTATTCTAATTAATAGGATAATTCATGTTTATTAATGCTATTTATAGTATTCCCGTGATGCTACATCCTTTATTTTATTCCAACAATATATAGTTCATCATGGATCATTTTATTAAAATGATGCTATTAGTCTGTATTCTGAGGTTCTGAATGAACAGTCCCCAATTATTATTCTTCCATGCCTTTTCAGTATACTCCAATGTAGATTTGTCCTCTGACTGTCTCTCTCAAATGAAGTCTGGTATAGTTCTGTGGTTCCCAAATATCAGTCCATAGGTGAGTGCCCTTCTCATATATAAAATCACCCGGAAGTCTTATTCAGATACAGACTTCCTAGTCTTTTTTTTTTTTTTTTTGGGCATGGGATCTGGTTGTTTGCCTTATAGAATAGTGCTTATTACCATTAACCCTGTATTCAAAACTCCTAGGTTTGAATTTTAGCTTCTACATTTATGTGATGTGTGACTTTGGGTAAATCATTAATCTCTCAAGTCCCAGTTTCCTAATCCATAAAATGGGAGTAATAACAGTGCCTAACTCAAAGTGTTATGGTGAGGATTTAAATGAGATTATATTGATAGGGAGTTCTTTAATAGTTTCAGGCACATATTAAGCTTTACAAGAATGTGTGTTAAATAGATCAGCAGTTATCCTAGATAATTTTTACACAAACAAGGTTTATGAATCATTAAAACAGAAAAATCCAGGCTTTGAAGTTCTTGACTTGTTTCTTACTGAAGATATGTCTTTTCTTCCAATGATTCTCACCAAGGCTAGGGGTATCCCTAGCTGATGATTTAAAAAATATATGAAGACATTTTTGGTTGTCACAATGATTTGATGGTTCTATTAACTCTGATAGGGTAGAAAAAACTGAGATCCACTTGTAAAGAAATAGACTGAACCACAGACTCTTAAGCAGCTAGACCAGCAGGGCAAAGGTAATATCACAATCTAAGGAATTCTGTCAGAAGGTAGAGGGCCTGGATACTGGTCTGGTGTTTACAAGGATGTTTGGAGGATTTGAGAGAGGGACAACCCAGTTCTTATCACAGAAGTTTGAGGGGAGAATGCAGGGACTTTGCCCTAATAATAAAGCACACTGGGCTGGTCTTGGCCCCTTCAAGGGAGAAGTTAGAATCTCCAAGGACTGGGCTAGAGGTGAGTAGATGTTTTCTGTTTGAGATAAAATTGATACTGAAGTTTAGCTTTAGCTGTGGAATGTGAAGATTAGGGACCCTTGTACCTGATGCCGTAGCCACTATCGCTTTGGGGCTTTGGTAAGGTCAGGGGCTTAGGATGAGATGAGTGTGTGCCTAGGGTGCAAAATTTAAAGATGCACTCACTCTCAGGTCCTGCAAGTGTGTGTCTCTCTGAATTTTCCACCCAGGCACCTCACGTTTCTTATCCTGGTCTCAACTCTGCTCTCCTCCTACCTCCATTCGAAGAGTTCTTATGGGTGTTTCTGTCTTATAATCTAGCAGTCAATGTGGCTTGTGAATGACACTAGTGAAAGATGCTTTACAAGCTGCCTGTACTTGCCGTACATACCTTTACATGTCTGTTTATCAAAATTATCTTATCTTCTTTTGAACTCTGCCACATGGATGCCACTGTCCTCTGAATGTCCAAACAACTAAGAACACGCTTAAAATGTTTTATTTTACATTTTAAAAAATATATTTTCTTTATTTGTTTTTATGTGGTGCTAAGGATTGAATCCAGTGCCTCACATA